TTTAATCCACTTGGGAAGCAGAGGCAGGTGGATCTCTGTGAGTTCAAGGCCAGCCTGGTCTACATAGTGAGTTCCAGGACAGCTGGGGCTACAGGGAGACCCTGACTCAAAAAGACCAAAAAAAATGTCTTATATGTACTATTTTAGCATTAGGTTGCTTTTTAAAGATTTATTTTTAAAAATATTTTTGTTTACTATTTTTATTTTATGCATATGAGTATATTACCTACATGTGTATAAGCGCACCTGTTCTGTACAGTGCCTGTGGAGATCAGAAGAGGGTGCTGGATCCCTTGGAACTGAAGTTATGGATGGTTGTTAGCCACCTGTAGGTGCTGGAAATTTAACCTGGGACCTCTGCAAGAGCAACCAGTGCTCTTAACCACTGAGCCAACTCTCCAACCCTTAAGATTTATTTTTAAACTATGCTTATCTGTTTGTGTAGGTATGTACATGTGAGTGTAGGTGCCTACAGAGGCCAAAGATTTTCAATTACATCTGGATCTATAGTTACAGGCAATCACTTGTGTGTCTTTTAACTTTAGTACTCGAAATAGAACTTGGGTAATCTTGAAGAGCAGTATATACTCTTAACTGAGGAGCTATCTCTCCTACCCTTTAGGTTACTTTTCATGCTCAACCATGGAATTGAGATAATGATCTAGTTGGGTCATATGCCTCCCTTGTTACCTTACATAATTATAAAGTAGACACTATGCTTAAAAATCACTTGGGTGGAAAAATGTAATATACCATATTGCTGAAAATGTAGAGAATGTTTATATCTTAATTCATAAAAATAGATACATTTAGCAGTATCTAATAAAAATTAAAATTATCAGACCCTATAATCCTCAAATTCTATCTTTTGATGAAAGCATGCTCTTATATAGACCTTCATATTAGCTTACAGAATTGTGTAGAAAACTGTTACTGCACATTTAGTACAGAGCTATAAAACTGGATAATAACTTCAGGGCCTCAGAAGAAGTGGATATAGTATGGTATATTTGCATGACATATTTCTGCTGTTTCAAAATGTACACAGCAGGTCTTGGGATGATATTTCACAATTATATTTAATACATAAACCCAGTTTCTCAGGGATATTTGAAATGTAGGAACATATATGTGTATCTTTTCAGAATGCCCTTGGAAAAGCCTGTGCGCGTGCGTGTGTGTGTGTGTGTGTGTGTGTGTGTGTGTGTGTGTTTGTGTGTGTGTGTAAAACTAATGAAAAGGGTTTGTACACATATAGTAGTGATTGATCTCTGAGGAAGAGGATTATGTTTGCAGTCAAAAGGGTGTTTAACTTTATCTGTACTGTTTTATCTTCTTTTTGTAAACAAAGAAGCAAATAACATAAAATGTTAAATGCTATTTTAAGTATAGTGTGAATACAGATGTTTCATTCTTAAAATTTTTCTGTATTTTGACAATTTATTAAATTAATGAAGACAAGACTCCTTTATAGGAAAGTAAGGTACAAGTACCATCAGGTATTTAGGAATCATGAGATACTGATGTGGCAAGGACAAAACAGATTTGGAGCCAGAACACAACTGAAATTTGGAACTATCTCCATTAT